GAATTGAGAGGATATTCTTGCTTCATAGGCTTTAAAAACCATAGTAATCATATTGAATGTACAAAACAGTAATGCTGCATTGCCAGCATTGCTGAGTGTAAAGCATGCTTTGAATTTGTAGATGTGAATTAATCTGTAATAATTCCCTTGGGCTAATTGATTATCAGGGTCAAGGGGAATAGAGTTGCGATGCTGTTGAGTTTCAGAGTTTATTCAGCTCTTGAATGGATCAAACCAGTTCTGTGACCTTGGATTTGTGCCTGGAATCGTGTCTTAAGACTTAACAGGTCAGAGGGTCCTTAAAAAGCGACTGATCTGTCAGTCCTCTGGAGAGGATTGGGGAAAATCCACCTGCCAGAACCTCTGGGCTAGTAGAAATGTTATCTGGGCAGCATATCCATTGTGTGCTAGACAAGCCAATGCAGGAGTCTTGGATGCGCTGGGTGATATCAGACACTGCAGTACTGAGCAACTGATCAGAAGCAAGGGAATGGCCCTAGTAAGTGCATTGTTGAGCATGCATGAAGCTGTGTGTGTGTGTTTGAATGTCATGTCAGTAAGTGCTCTGATCAGATGTCTGTGGTGAGTTAGGAAGGGGAGAGCTTGGGTACTGGCTTCAAACTCATAACCAGGAGAAAAGCACTAGCTTAATTTTTCCAGCCAAGATGGAGTATGTACTAGCAGAGCCACAACTGTTACTACTGCGGGACAAAGTTTGTTTTGATCTTTAGAAGGAGTATAGTGCTAGCAAGCTATAAACCGTGGCCTGTAGTTCCAAGACAGCATCTTTTGCCAAAAAGGCAAGCAATCGTTTAGCTTTCCAGCCGGGCTCAGTGTTCTTTGCAGTAAAATAAACTGCAGTCTGACTATTTGCTGCTGCAAAATGTAATTTGATTTGTTTTCTTAGGTGTGGGGGGTGACTTCTCTGCAGTTCTTACAGCTTTTGCCAAGGCCAGTCCATTTAATTTCCTTGGTTTATACACTGTTCTAAATGCACTTATAAAACCTATGCATAGATGTACACACAGGCTTGATTGATGCAGCTAGAACATGAACTGAGAAATGTCTGGAACACATCAAACTGTCCCCTGTGGGTGGTTTTTTTGGGGTGAAAGAAATTCATTGGTTCAAATAAGTAGAGAGTACTTGACTGCTGGCTAAGCAAATGTGAATTTTCTGGTGCAGCCATATATATATTAGTGAATGAAACACCTAGCTGTGAACACGCTCCCAAAACCTGTGGAGAGTTGTATAGCTGCCTCAAAAAGGTGTTGTGTAACTTGTGGGAAGCATAAGAAGCTTTCTGTTAAGGCCTTACTTTTATTGAGTGCTCAACCTCTGGCCTGCAAGCCACATGTAGCCCATGGAGCCTTGGTGTCCAGATTGCAGGACTCCACAGGTTAGAAAATTTGGTGGCAGGGGAGCAGTGGGAGTACTGCCACCCCATCCTGCTGCCAGAAGTCCTGGGAGGTGGGTAGGAACTGGACCACAACCCTTCTCTTGAATGGCTAGATCGGGGCTGGGTCACACTACCCTTCCATCTGAGTGGCTGGGCTGGGGCCAGGCTGCACCTCCTTCTCATTATGGGGCAGGGCCAGCTTGTCCCTTCCCCCCTCCCACGGGGCTGGATTGGGCTTGGGCCATGCCTGCCCCAGGTGACAGATTGGGTTCACTGGCCAAATTGGCCTGTGGAGGGATCAGGCACTGCCCATTTGCTCTGGCTCAGCCAAAAGGTTGAGCACTGCTGATATAAAATGTTTAATGACTTTCTCTTACATACAGTACCAATCACCTGAAAGCAGAAACTAATATGGTACACAATAAATTTCTGTTAGCAAATTGCTGCTTAGATGCAAAACAAGGAAATGCAAAAACTGCTACCTTGCGTAACCCTATATCCACAGTTGCTGAATATGACTTCAAAATATCAAATCTTACCAAATCTTAAAGTAGGCTAATTCCCATTGTGTGAAAGACTTCTGGGGCATCTAAGTTTTGTAGAGAAGTGACTTGGGGACATATAGGAAGCTTTGTTTGTTCAGTGTGCATGTATATGCACGTGTAGCTGAGCAAGCATCCATGTGTCAGGTTTGTGCCAAGTGGGGAAATTTGTACTTTTTTTTTGTCAGTAATAGACTTTGGGACATATGACAGCTGGCAGTATTACAGTGGGAATAAAAACAGCTTCAGGAGTGTGGGAATCAAGGTTGAACTAAAATGTTTACCCAGCTGATCTTGGCTTTCAACTCACTACTCTGAATCTCAAAAACTATTACAGGCATGAATTTATGTGGAGATGCTTTCCATTGTTTGAAGACTGAACTGTGTGGAGTTGTCCACCAAACTCATTAGGCAGTGCTCAGAAACTTCATTTGGCTGTCATCCAGCTAAAGAATATTATAGAAAACAAGCCAGGTCTAATATACTCGCAGTCAAAGGGTTTCTTGAGGAGATGAAGACAAGACTGTTTGAGGTCTCACTGTTTTTCATGGTGGACTTAAACACCGCTGAATGAAGCATTTCTTCAAGGAGAACTCCTTGTTTGACTTCCGAGAGCTGCAGAACTGTGCCAGAATTAGTAACACTGAAAGACCATCCAGGCTGCGCTGTGCTTTCTCACATACAGCACCCCACAGAATATAACACACACCTTGTTTTTGAAAGGCAGAATGAACAAAAAAGGATCTCTCCTTGTAGTAAGTAACTGAATAGCAGCAGCAAGGGAGTGGAGCCTGCTCATTGTTCTGCTCCCCTGAATTACTACAGATTTTGGCTGCTTACGGACCAGCTTTGCAGCGTCTGTATAGATCGGGTGCTTCAGAGGGGTTTTTCGTGCTTTTATCCAATAGCAGATTGAATCAGTTTTAGATAAAAACACCTGAAAGTCCTACTGAAGCAGGTGCTGGGGAGCTGGCTTGAACTAACGCTTCCTCTTCTGGTAAAGCACTGCTTTCTTTTCTGGTTTTTTGTTTCTGTGTGTTTTTCATGTCTGTCAGCAGTCTTTATTTTCTGCTGCTCTAGGTAAAACCAAAACTGCTCTTACTTTATTTCTGACACATGAGGTGGACTGAAATTTTCAGCAGATGTTTTGGGGAGAAGGTGTGCGTTACATATGTGAAATACAGTATTCTTGAGGCCATCTGGTTTGAGACGTTAAACACTTCTGGGACCCTGGAGATGGAAGTGTAAATCTCTGGATCTCAAAAAGTATTACTGGCATGAATTTATGTTGAGATGCATAAAATCATGTATGTAGAACTTATGGACTCCAGATATTCTTGAGGCTACAAGAGAGGGAGGACATTCATGTGACTTTAGTGCTTGGACTGCTTGCAATAGACCTTTTGTGTGGGGTTGTTGGTTTGTGCCAGAAAGCTTGCAGATAACTTTTTTCCAACTATTTAGTGGGTCTAATAAAAGATATCACAGCTACCCAAAGAACTGTGCCTGCCTGTAGACTTTTGATAGCAGTCTACTAGATTCCTTAATTACTAGGCTATGGTACAAGAAACAAGTATGCCTTGCATTGGTGATTTGTTTTTCACTTGATAGTTATATATAAAATCCTTTCAAAAAAGCAGTGGACTTTTTTTTTTTTTTTTTTAAGCAGAAGGTGGTAACCACCAGCCCACCTGCTTTTTAGGATGTATGGTAAAAGCACTGTTCTCCTTTTTATGTAATGCTGTAGTATATGAATGTGGGCCTCTTATAATGAATTTAATTGAAGCAAGCACTTGCAAAACAATCCCTTTCCAAAAACATACTGTGCAGAGTAGAGTGTTGGCCAGAATGTTAGCAGATCTGGATTTGGCAGACCAAATGGGAGGGAATGAATTTAAGTCAAGGACCCCTTCAGAAAATGCACTGTTGGCAGCCCTGTCACATGAACATTCAACCAGCTCTGTTACCTTGGCAGATTACAGTTATAGCAGTATGAAACTGGGGAAAAACTGGAGTCTCAGGTATTTAGGATTTAAAATTAAAGCATGCTTGACAGCTGTGCATAGACTACACTAAGGCACTTTTTGCCAAATCTGGCAATTATCAAATGTCTGTATAATTCATATTTAAACTTCTATTGAACAAACTCTTGGAGAAAAATGTTTTAAAATTCAAAGCAGTTTTTACTTGGTCAGTAATTTTAGAAGCCCGTTTCTGTGTTCCACAGTCTGTTTAGACAGACTTTCTTATGCTTTTAATAACATTCTAACTCAAAGGCATCAACATTAATTTGGGCATTACTGAGGATCGGGGAAGTAAAGCAGTGCGTAACTTAACATGCTCTATTTCCTTACTCATGACTAGTGCATTTGTTGGGATGAAACTTACTGTGCTTGCTGTCAGCCCAATGACACAATTTATGTTGAGAACAGGAAAGTTTTGAAGCAACTTCTCTTAGAAAAGCAAATTGACTTTCTGCTTTTAAAAGTTGTAAATCTTTGTGAGTGTTGCTTAAAATCGTGTAACTGTAACGCTTCAAACTTCCAGGGAGTCTCTTATCTAGTAAGAGGATGAATGGTCAATATGTGAGTTCAGATGGAAAATTATTAGGACATGGTTTTTATTTTGTTGATCAGCTTGAAACCAATTGCCTGCAATGATAACTGCATAACTACCTAGAGGCTGAGTTTAAAACCTGTACGTTTTTTCAGAGATTCAGTTGCATAACTTTGCAGTGCAACAGGTACAGTTCTTCCATCTTTCTTTTTGAAAGAAGTGAAATGCAAACTCCTGTGTTAGCAGTGATTAAAATTTGTAAATTCAAAGTTGAAGGGTTAGGAAAGAGAAAAACTAATTTTTTTATTGCAGTGTTATCTTTCTTGTATTTGTCCTATGGTATGAATGCCCACAATCTAAGTAGGAGTAAAATTTAAAAAATATTTAATCCAAATACTAAATTAATCAGAACATAATTTCATCTTGTAACAATATTCTATTATTAGAGAGACTGATGATCATGTGATTCTGCTGTTTTCTTCTCTAGTCTTCCCAGGTGCTGTTGCTGACCCTGGAAGGAACAAAGGAAAAGCAAGTGGAGAAAACAAGCAACCAAACAGGAGAAAGAGGAGAGATGAGGAAGGCTGAGGACAAAGATGGGGAGGAGACAACGGAGGGCAGAAATAATAGCAGTTGACCTTAACATTAGCATCTCAGTGTTTTCTCAGAAATATGGATGTATTGTGAAAGTGAGCAATGAAAATAGGCACCTTTTAGTATGTTGTTAGTCTACCATATATGGAGAGGTTACAGTTCCATATGGAAAGCAGTAGTATGTAGTTTGTTGGGGTCTGTAGGTAGTGATAAATCCATATCTTTTTCCAGAAGAAGGCAAATCAGTAGGTGTTTCCAGTAATGTTGAGCTTGTCACTGATACATTTGCTGAACCACAGTTTATTTGAAAAAAAAAAAAAAAAATTGTATGAAAGACAGTCTTAAATTTCAATATTGGAAGAGGACAGCAGTTCTGAAGTATGCACATGTTCATAAGTACAAGAAAAATGCTCAAGTTTTTTTGTCAGGGAATGGTAAGTCATGGAGGTATCTAGAGCCAGAGGTAAATCTAGGTAGTCATCACCTTTCATTGAATGGTTGACTAGAAAGAGTGCAAATGGAGCTATGGGAGGCTTGGGTGGTAGCAATTCTAAAAACTTCTTCTGTAGGGTGACTAGCATGGCATCTAATAGTTAGCATGCAGTAAAGCTGTCAGTTTCATCTTTTTAATTTTATTTTTTTCCTGTCATGTGCCCATGGTGTTGAATTCAGTGGGTGATGGTTTCTCAGTCTCTCTGTAGTTAATATGAAACTTGCTGATACAGGAAACGTGTCACAAGCTTCTGGTGAATACCGGCTGTTGTCACTTCAGTCCATTTGCTTGTTTCTCGCCTCTTTCAGTTTTACATGTGTTGACTTGGATTGCTTCTTACCCTAACTAAGACTTTGTTGCATTTGTCAGCAGCTTTCATGTTACTCAAAGCAAGCAACTATAACGTGCATTTTAATATTCCATCAGACTTTAGGTTATATTTTTTTTCCACGTATCCCATGAAATTAAAAAAAAAAAAAAGAAAGAAAAAAAGAAACCGGGTGTAGCAATAAATCCTACTGTTTCACCACACTTCTAAACTTTAAAATATTTACTTTTCTCTGTACAGATCTATCCTCATCTACAGTCCCTTGCTACATCTGGGTTATAACTCTTGAGGTACTATGAGAAATAATGTTGACTTAACATTTTTTTGAAGTTGGACAAATGACTTCAGTGTTTTATTGCTACTGAAAATGAGGAGCGTCTTTTGTGTAGGATGCAGTGAGAGACTAGGATTTTGAATTTATTTTCACTTCTGGCTTTCTTCTGTCTGAGTAGTATTAAGAATAATCTTCCTTTTCCACGGAAGAGAGAACATTTTTCAACTACTGACATACAGATAACTTCACATTTCTTGAGGTACTATTAATATTGAATTAGAAAATGAGCTATGATGGTACAGTTCTTATTGACTTATCCTGAAGTACTCTTTGAACATGGGTCAATGGAAGAAGGAGAATTAAAAGGTTCCCATTGCTGAAACTACTAAAAATGGACTTTTTGGGATATGACTGAAAGTGTTTGTTTAAAGGGTCACTGTAAACTTAGGTGTTCCCCATAAAAAACAACAACAACAAAGATTATTTTAAAACTGAAATATTAGAAGTTTATTTCTCTTTCGCTCTGTTTGTTACATGCTTGAGAATGCCTGGTTTAGTTTGTGTAGCAAACACAGGAAATGACTTGCATTGTGGTTGGAGCAACAGAGTGGACGCTGTGATTGTCGCAAAAAATGGTACTCTTTTAGATAGTGGCAGTACCATCTTGAAAGCTCTTTTAGGCAGTGTCCAGACGAGCACAGCTATGTGGCACATGGTACCATGTACCATACATTGTTTTCCTGCGGTACAGGGGAGCAACAGAGGGAGTTTTTTGTTTTGCTTGTTTTTTGTGGGTTGGGTTTTTGTTTTTTGGGTTTTTTTTTTTTTTTTTTTTTTTACCCCTGGATATCCAGGGGTAAAAAAAAAATTGTGCAGGAAAAAAAAAACCGGAGTGGCACATGCGGAAGCAGCATGCGTTGCAGAGCCTGGCCGGTTGGAGTTGTACAGCACCTGCCGGGCAGGCTGTGAGCAGCAGGATCACCATTGCAGTAGCCCCAGGCTCCCAGGTAAGGCTGGCTGGCCTCAGCCTCCCCTATGCCATGCGAGGTAACCTGCTGCAAGCTAGAGGGTGCATGGCACAGGCATTCCCCAAGGACAACTAGTAGCAGCACAAGGTTTGCCACTGCTTCTTGTCCCCGAAGAAACGAATGTCCATGCTGGTGTGGATGCAGTCTTAGAGTCCTTTGGAAAGGTCACACTTAACTTGAACATTGCCTGGTGTTCAAAAGTTGATGTTTTGTCATCTCTTGATTATTTTAGATGCATTCTACTGTATGTGCTTCCTATTTTGTTGTGACTTCCTGTGAATTAAATGTGATATCTTGATCTACTGTAAATATCAAAGCTCTTGACCATTTATGCATCACAGAAGAAATTAAGGACTTCATGTGTCTTAAATGATCCTGGTTAGCATCATGGTCTTCTGCTACATAGTCCCTTAATCAGAAAGTGGTACATCACTGGACCAGACTTCATTGGAGTATTGGAGCTATATTGCTATAAAGTCTGATATATCTTTGACATAGACTCCTGGGCTAGATCACTTTAGAACAGAAGTATGTTCCAGTTTTGGTAGATTTAGTAAGCCTGGAGCCAGCTTTCACTTTGAGACCTTTGCTCCTATGCTGTGCCCCTATGCTGAAATAATTTTTTTCAGCTTGAGAGTCTAGCTTAGGAAGAGATCTATGTTAACCTGTAAAGGTTTGTTTCAGTCAGGAAGCTTAATGTTAGTTGTGATTGGACCTTAACCCCCCCCCCCCCCCAAAAAACAAACAAAAAACAACAACAACAAAAAACAACCCACATGTGGCTTGTGCCAAATACTTTAGTTTTGGGATACCAGTTAGAGAGTCTGTCACAGAACAGGAGTTGTGCTAGGCAGCTGGACAGGCACATCACAGAATTGCTCTGCCCCCAAAGTGTTTATAGTCTAAGTGAATTAGCCAGACGTGTGATCCTTGTATCGGTGATCGTGGGCCCTTAATACACTGCTTTCCTTTAGACTGTGAGAATTCTTGGGAGCAGGTTGAGACACTGCAGCTTGGTCACCTTGCACAGGTTTTGCTGCTTAAAGCTGTGTGGAACAGCACTGGAGGGTCTGTGTAAACTGTGAACTGAATCTTCTACAGAGATGCCGAAAGATCCTAGTTTATGCCTCTGCTGTGTTATGTCAAGCACACTTCATCAAAGTATCCTTTTGCTGGAGGTGGAAGTTAGGGCTTGTTTTTGACCTAGGTAAAATCTCTTGCCTCTTTCACTTGTACTGTTACAAGTGACTTCATGAGTACCATAATTTCTCTAAATCCTCTAACTTTGCAGGGTTTGTATGGTTGCCACATGCCTTAGGTCACCTCATCAGCCAAATAAATGAAGGCAAAGAGTTCTTTGTAGGCTAAGGAAACATAATTTATAGAAAATGAATAGAATAGCAAGTTTGGATTTATCCTTGATTCAAACACATTGGCTTGGTTTTCAAGTTCTTGGAGCAGGAAGCAGGCATGCAGTTTTTTTTTTTCTGGTATAGCATCTGGGTGGTTCTGAATCTCTCTTGTGCCAGTTAATAATGAACTGCTGAGGATTTTTCACATTTTTGTGGGATGATAGCCTTTTTGTAAATGTCTCTCTCCCATCCCCCTTCATTCAAGAATAAAAGCCACTCATGGCTCCATCCCATGCCCCACCCCACCCGAGCAGCACCTGCCTCAAATCTTCCACCTTCCCCACACCAGACTTACCAACCCAATGCTGGTCTCCAAGTTGCCTGGCTGGATATCGGAATCTGATCAGCGTCGGCTGATATGGCTGCTTAAAAATCTGCCATCAGCATGAGCCCAAAAATTCTCTGTCAGTACACCCCTATTATCCATGGCTTGTTTATAACTCTGGTTTTTATCCTGCTAAAGACAAACTTTCTGTATTCAGGAGTAGGAATCTTGAAACATTAAAAATACATTTGAAAATGTATAGGAAATAAGAAATTAAAGGCTATTGCCATCTTTAATGCACCTAGTACTCAATTATACTGTATTATAGTGTAAGCTAGACTTGAAGTGGAAAGGTGAAGTCTATATATAAGCTTTCTTGTTACTTTATAAACAAGAAATGTTAGGAGTGTGCCTAAAATACATATGAAGGCACAATCTTAACACTTTCTTGTCATAAAGTACAGCTGAAACCATGAACAAAAAAACCCCTTTTAACTAACATAATATGGCACATTATAAAACAGTGAAAATGTGAAGGAAAAAAAAAAGCCCATAACATTTTCCAGGAGAACATCTCATTAAGAGCTTTTAATCAAAATAATTATAGCTCTAATGTAATTTAAATATTAAGGTAAACTAGTATAGTATAGTTACCTCAATTTTTTTAATGCACCAAGCCAAGCTACAAGTAAAGGAGCTGAGAAGTATGGCACTTGATAGGCCTTTTTCTGTGAAGATATGGGAGATGAAGGTTTGTGGGTGTTTCTATGTAATGCACTTTCACTCCCCTCTCTCCAAATCTATTGTTTCTTTCTAGATTTCATAAAGTTGCATTTATATTCAGGAAGGTAGTAGTCCTTCCAGACTCGGAAATGTCTGGGTAAAACTTGTAGGACAGGACATTTTATGGATATGAAAAGCTGTGTCCTTCTAGTTTCCTTCAAAGGAAGTCAAATATATGAATGCAAATGTAAAACTAAACAGATTGCCTTTTGCTCTCTACAATTACCAGAAAATTCCACTCATCCGAACAAGTCAAGCCAGGAAGAAACTTGCACCACTTCTTGAAGTACTAAGAATATTCTACTGACAAAGCTCTACTGTCTGTACCATGGAACTTAGAACTTCCCCACCTACTTACAGCTCTTAAACAAGACAGAGCCAAGTCTCCAAAATTAGTACAGTTGTCAGTCCGCATGATATGAAAGCTTAAACCGCTCTGGGCAATAAAAAAAAGTTATGCCCAAAAGCAACCAGAAGCATGAACTTGTCGGTCTACTCCACCTAGAAATTTA